TTTAAGTGTGTATCGTGTTTAGTATCTCTGTCTGAATCTATTTTTCCTCATCCTGGCATGTCCTATTCCTCCTTATATTCAACACATGCAGTGGCGTGTGATGTATACGCCGGTCCCTGAGCACGTGAGCGCGGCCTCCTTATGCAGACCTCCGTTTGAAAAGACACAATTTACACATCACAAGAAAACTATTGGCCCCGGAATGCACTGTCCACTTCCCGATCTGAGTTTCGGTTCCACAAATCCACTATACGAAGATATTTTATTTAGCAAGTTCCAGTCCATATACCTTTTCTCCATGTCTAGCGCTAAAGCTACAGTTTCATAAACCATGGGCATGAATATTGAAGGATATACAGTAGATATAATAATGGGAACCAGTTCATACAGGAGCTCATGGTTGTGGCTACAGCCTGGAGCTCTGTTTGCCTTTGAAACTCTAATGAAGACCTCCCGACAGAGACCGAGGCGTGGAGGGTCTGCCAGATGGACCCGCGAGGAATTAAAGAGAATACATGATCAATACATACACGGGAACACGGATGATACATGTTAAAGAAGGACGTTGATAAACATTCTCCACCAAACCGGACAGAGTGTGGGCTGTTTTGCAAAGAAGAGTAGGAAAAAACTGCTTAACTTTTCAGGGTCTTTGGTCATGTTTTTTTGTTGTTAAGGTTTTGAGATTGGATCCCCAAAGCAGAGGCAGGAGACTGAATACCTTTAATACGTTTGTTTACTATGCTAGAGTGGAGCAGGCAGTGGAAGCAGGAGAGCAAGGGCTGACTGGAGATACAGCAAGAGACAGACCTGGATCTGAAGGATCAGGATTAGTCCAGTTCTCAGGTCTCTGCACTGGCTTCCTGTGGCTCAGAGAATAGACTTTAAAACAGCTCTGCTTGTTACAAGTCTCTCCATGGCCTCGCACCAAAATATATTAGTGACATGTTAGTCCCATGTGAACCAGCCCGGACTCTGAGGAGCACAGGGACTGGACTCCTGCTGGGACTCTGAGGAGCACAGGGACTGGACTCCTGCTGGGACTCTGAGGAGCACAGGGACTGGACTCCTGCTGGGACTCTGAGGAGCACAGGGACTGGACTCCTGCTGGGACTCTGAGGAGCACAGGGACTGGACTCCTGTTAGTGCCCAGAGTCAGGACTAAACATGGGGAGGCTGCATTTCAGATTCATGCTGCTAAAATCTGGAACAGTCTTCCTGAAGATTTGAGACAGGCCTCTTCTCTGAAAAGGTTTAAAACCAGGTTAAAAACAGTTCTGTTTAGCTGTGCATACACTGGTGATACACTACTACTGTAGCCGCAGCTGCCCTGGGACACACTGACAGAAGCGAGGTCTCTGCCATCTGCCCCTCCCACCACCACCAACAGTTTAGCACTTTACAGCCGCCCCACTGTGGCACCTGGTGTTCCCAGAGGTCTCCCATCACAGTACTAACCAGGCCCTGCCCTGCTTAGCATCGGTCTGCCTATTTATCTATCACCTGTGAGGGTCCTCTGAAGCTAAGCATGGCAGGGCCTGGTTAGTACTGTGATGGGAGATTACTTTAGTATTAGTTTAGTTTACTTTAGTGTACTTAAACACAGTGATTAGTTTAGTTTGGGTCCTCACCGGTGTCTGCTCTGAGACGTCAGTGAAGGTCCTCCATGAACGAAGCGCTCCAGAAGCTTAAATAAAGGAAGGATTAGATCCAGTCGATGCGGAGGCTGTTTCGGAGGCTCTGCTGCTCACGCTGCGGCGGTGATTGACAGCGGCACCGCCATCAATATCACGGCTAATCAGGGTGATGGCTGCTAATGAAGATGTTTAGGGCGGGCCTCTGCTTAATGCACTGCAGCAGGACTCTCTTCAAACAGAATACGTTAGCATCCCCGTGTTTCTGGATAAACACTCGCTCATGTTGCGCCGAATCCTACATCTGCAAATCACATCAGTCACGCTCTGCCTTCTCTGTGGCGTCTGTTATTATTAAGTCGTTCTCAAAAAAATCATGTTTGCGTGTAATTACTCTTGTTGTGAATGAGACGCGTGCGGCGGTGAGGCTTTCGTTTGTGGTTCTAGCGGTTTGTTTATCAATCAATCACATTTGAATCGATTTATTGTGCTCTTGTGGTTCAAAGTAAGAAGGTTCTGGGTTGGATTCCACCTTCAGGCCTTTCTGTGTAAGTAAGTAAGTAAGTAAGCTTTTATTTATATACCGCCTTTTCACTGGACATCGGAGTCTCAAAGCGGTTTACAATTGTTGGGTGGGGGTGCCAGTACAGGAGGCACATGCCAGAACTATTGTACATATTTTTAGTGGTAGGGGAAACCGGAGCACCCGGAGGAAACCTACGCAGACACGGGGAGAACATGCAAACTCCACTCAGAAAGGCCCTGGTCCAACCGGGATTCGAACCCAGGACCTTCTTGCTGAGAGGCGAGAGTGCTATCCACTCAGCCACCGTGCCGCCTGTGTGGTTTGCATGTCCTCCCTGTGTCTGCATGGGTGTCCTCCTGGTGCTCTGGTTTTCTCTACCACTAAAAACATGTAGAATAGTTTAGGCTGAATGAGTGTGTGTTTGTGAGTGCGAATGTGGGACAACGGATACAAATTAGTTCAAGGCTACAATCCGGAGACGTGTGTTCATGAACATGCGCCGTCCCAACCCAATAAGCAATAAAACATGTTTGTATTCATAAATCGCTTTTCATACAAGAAATGCAACAAAAAGGTGCTTTACAGTTTGATTAATCGATTCCACGTGCCCATGACCTCTCCACCCAGCAACACATCAAACCATGAGGTGTGTGTGTGTGGTGTGTATGCATACGTACAATCACATTAAATGAGTCCAACAGATACAGCCAAGAGAAGATATGAGGCTCAGAGTCGGAGTGACCAGCTGAAGAAGCGTCATCCGAGGAGCAGAGAGCCGCCTGCAGCCAACGGGGACGACACAGGACCCAGCCCTTTACCAGGTTCAGGAGCCAGACCCCCACAGGACCCAAAGGAGT